CTTGAAGTGAGAAAACGTGGGAGAAATGTTTTGTTGGTTGTTGCAGACAATGGGGAATTGTTCTATCATGATTGTAAACAACAAGATGTCATTAAAGTGTCGTAAGAGTGTCGGATCGATTGTCTCTGACTCATATCGGTATTGTCTTCACATCAATACAATCTATCCGCAATATCATTTGATTTTACCGAGATGAGTGGGATAAAATAAACGAGACTGTTACCCTCGTTATCGATTCTCACCCTCTCGGAATTGTTACTCGAGAAATAATTGTTCGGACGTTAAAGTGTTTTGATGGAGCGCCAGAACGTAATCTCGGGATTACGATTGTTTCGTCCGAGATGGAAACGACTATTCCGTTAACGAATCCCGGGTCATTATCTTTTCTTTGTTGTCATTATTTCTCGAGTGTCGGTGAATTTTTCCCTCATTAAATGCCATCAATCTTCTCGAACGAATTCACGAATTCTCCCTCATTTTATTGGCCTTAAGGCATCACTCAGCATCCGGTTTTTATTGTCACCGGATATTAAACGGTTAGGGAATTCTGGAAATGCGGGGAATAAATGGCATTCCGTAGGCGAAGGACAGCTTTCATCAAATGTTGGAGGGGATAACTTTTTTTTTTGGGGGGATTTTTTGATTTGGGTCTTATGCCGCGGGAGATCGTCAGCTCATGATGAATCCTCGGGTAAAAAAAAAATGGAAATGGAAAAATTTTTCCAAAATTTCAAAAAAATTCCGGAAAACCTTTCAAAATTTTTTTTAAAAAAAAAGAAAAACCGGAAAAAAAAAAAATGGAATTTTGGGGAAAGGTTTGAAAAAAAATTCAAAAAATTGGTTCCGAAAAATTTTTTTAACAATTTCCAAAAAATTTTGCAAAAAAAAATTCTTTTTTTATTATTCGAGACGAGATTCTTTGTTTGTGGCATTTGAGGAAATTTTTACTTTATTCCTTTAATTTGTTTATCGATTTGAAATAAAAAATAGAAAAAGATCGATTCAACTGATCAATCGACCCGCGAAAATCGATTTAAAACATCAATAAATCAATTCATTAAAACAAATACATAAATAAATCGAATTCCGGAGTCTTTCCAATAATTTCTAAATATAACGTATTAATAATTATAATCGCAAAAAAATTATTTTTGTAATCCACAATTTCATGAGCTCCATCATAATTATTTAATTCTTCAATATTTCCGTCTCCAGTAGACGAATTTCGCGATAAATTACAACAAATTGTTAATTAAATATCTCACCTTATCACTTCATTAACGAATGATAATGATAATGATAATGATCGGTTTGAGTTGATTTGTCGCGGCGGTATGACCCAATCGGTTTGAAAAATTCGATTCAATCAGTAATTCCGTGTACCATTTCATTGCAATCCCCACCCGGATGAACCCATTATAAGCTTTTCCTCGCTTTCATGACCTCGCTATTGTACCCCGGCTATAATTAGGCTACAATTAAACGCACAACGGGTGGCACCAATTTCTCCCATTCTCCAGTGTTCTAATGTGTTCAATGTTTTCAAACGTTCCAACTTCCCGGAGGAGGTCATACCGATCTACTGCTCCTGTCTTTGGTATAATTATTATTAATTAATTCAATCTTATAAATTACTAGATTAGATATTATTAAGTATTATCGGGTAATTGTTATTTTATTATTTTTGATAATAACGAATTTTTTATGTTGAAAGAAAATTATGAAGAATTTTGCTTTTATGACTCAATTATTTTTTTAATCCAATTTGATTAGTAGGTTTCAATTTTGAAGTGGGAATTTTGACGATTTAAATTTTTGTTGAGGAATTAATTATGAATTTAAATGGAAAACCTAATTTTCTTGGTTTTTTTGATTAATTTTAATTGAAATTGAATCGAAACTCATGTAATTGGAAATTAATGCGATTTTGTAACGGAAATTTTAAAAAGTTAAATTTGAAATTTTAAAAGTTTTACCATTCTAAGATCATTTTGAACAGCAACAGAAAATCATATTCTGTAGATGTTCAGTTAATCATTTGGTTGTTTAACCAGATAAATTTTTTCCCCTCCACGTGTGGAGCATCCCTTACCAAAAAATGATAAATTACGTGGGGTTCACTTCCCCGACGTGATTTCCATGCGCCATGATCTCGAAATGCCGATTTCATTATTCCCCCTGATCCATACAATATCAGAGAACAACGAGATTAGATCCCGATTTGTCGGATGAATCAGCAGCCCCAAATGACAATTTAATCTCATCCGCGTTAAGACACTAGATGTCGAGATGAAAAATCGTAAACATGCGACACAATTTCGTTTTTTGTGCGTTCAATTCCTAAACAATAACTTGCGGTAAAATTACAGAGTGAATATTCCGGTATTATTCTTTACTCCATCAAGGGGAGATCCGGGCAAAATGGGACAGAGGATAAAATAGGAGACGAGGAGACAAAATCGATCGTTGGAATCCATTATTCAACATTTCGTTTTTTCCAGAATTTTATTACACTTGACTCATAAAAAAATGGTAAATTACCATACACGGAGTTTCATGATCAGAATAAAAAAATGAGCGATTGAAGTTAGATGTATTTTTTAAGAATATTGAAAAATAAAAAAAGTGACAAACCGACGGTATGAAAAGAAAGAATTAAATTCGCGAAAATCACTGGAACACTTAGGCTGTCTCCGTAATTTTTTGACAAAAAAAAAATGACTGGGAATGAGTTGAAAACACTTTCCGCAAGTGTCCCGTTTTGCCCGGATTTTCCCTACAGTTTCCATTTATTTTCCTAATGTTCACATGAAGAATTAGTTGGAAGCTCGCCCAATGCAGGAGCTCCATTCCAGGGGGCATTAGTTGGAATAAAACTGAGAGAAAATGTCTCCGGAACATACGAAAGTGGTGATAAAAACGGATAATGAGAGAAATTTGTGAAAGGGGTCTAGGCTTATTTTCCATTTTCCACCATTATTTATTTTTATCGATACAGCACTCGGATGATGCACACAAGGAAACTCATCCCGTCCCATTTGTCTCTCCGCTTGTTTACTCGAAATTTATATACCTCCAGGCAATGTACACGTTATATATACGACCTGCACAACATCCCCATGATATCCATAAAGTGAAGTCTAACAGGCAGATAATTGAACGTCTTTTTGAACTATTTTCATCGGGTTTTCCCTAGGAAAACTTCTGGGAATAATCCCACCGTTGCCGGGGGGGATGGAGGGGAAGTTTATTGGGTCATCGGACGGTGGAAAAAATTTACTTACACCCTGTGCCAGGGCTAGATGGCCTGGAGCGTTGAATTTTCTCGGTTTCCTCAAGGCCGGGGGTAAAAAAATCTTTTCGGGCGAAAATTCTGTTGAAGCGCGAGATTCCCTCCAAGTGTCTCCTCAATTCTCTACTGGGGTTTTTTCGGATTTATTGAGTTGCGAATTTGTGTAGATTCTGTCGACTTCCCGTTGAGATTTCAGGCGACTAGTCGATTGTGGGACTTTTCCGCGAATCGAGTGTTTTCGGGTCGCGGAAAATCGTGGAAAATTTGGGGAGCAAATATTTAGCAATCGTCGTCGTAAATAGAGTTTATTCTATATTGGTAAGTAGATTTTTGGGGGAGGAGGTTGGCGGACGATTTTTCGGGTGAGAGAATTAATTAATATTTATTTGTGTAATATTTTTCTGAATTCGGTTGGGCAATGGTAAAAAGGAATAAATGAATTTTTTTCTCGACCGGTTTTGAGCCGATAACTCGGAATTGAAGGGAGATAACGATATTTTCATCTATACCTTTCTTGGAGCTCTCTTTTTGTTCTATAAACAATGTTTTAACGAAAAAATCGGTATCTTTGTTCAATTGTGAGATATCAGCGAGAAACCGACGGAGAAAAAATGTACTTCTCATAATTTACCACTTCGATACTGAGTTAATGATTTATTTCGAGAAATATCGGTGCATCGTGGATGAGTGTAAGAACTTTTTAGTAGGTGATTAAATTTCTCATAAAAAAGGTTTTATGACATTTTTCTCTAAAATCAATAGATTTGGAGGTAAATCATTTTTAGTGAATGCTCATTCACTTGCGAAATGGATTTATCTCGCTTTAGCAGTTCGGCACTGAGTTGAACTGAAATTGCAATTTCTATTGAACTCCATATTATACCGTTTATTCAATTCAAACTCAAAGCATTGTCAATTTATTCATTCCCTAGTGATTCAATCTCGTTAATTATTTACAATTACACTTGAATGATTTGTTAATGGATATTAATTTTTCTGTTTAGTTCCGTGGGGGAAGAAATCATGACAGGAACATACCGGATATCGGTGAGTACAGGTAGAGTAATCAACACTATTAAACATACTCTTAATTATTTCTAGTTATGATTTGGTAATTACTCTAAAAAATATCTTAGCTCTTCCGCCTCCTACAAGGCCTCAACAAGTGCATAAACAATCACGGAATTTGTGAGGGAATTACTGAATTTAGCTGTTAATTTTTCAATCAAATTCTTTATTAATTTATAAATTCACTACCGACAAGGAAATATTTCAGTATAAATTATTCGAGAAAATTTCCCGAAGAAAATTTCTTCACCGCAAATTTCCATTGAAAATGTTCCCACAGGAAATTTCCATTGAAAATGTTCCCACAGGAAATTTCCATTGAAATTTTTCCGGGAAAATTTTCCGACATAATTTCCCCACCGGAAATTTCCATTGAAAATTTTCCGGGATATTTTCCCCACAGAAAATTTCCATTCAAAATTTACCGAGATAATTTCCCCTCAGGAAATTCCTCCACAGGAAATTTTCCGGGAAAATGTTAAAAGGTAAAAAGTCGAATCTTGTTTTTTCGCCGTTAACTTCTTTCTCGTAATTCCTGTGTATGTTTCCTCCCAGGGTAGTGTACGTGGGCGTGTAGATAAAATTGATGGTCTCGAGTAGACATTTACTTGAGATATTTACCGAGCTATATACTAAAAGAGACGAAACTCGGTGGTAGCAATTCTCAGATGTTCTAAACTGCCTTTCAAACTCACCCTCCATCCCTTCGGTGGGATATACCGTTGTTTAGCCCCAGGGGTTAACCGACATTCAATGGGAAATAAAAAGATGCTGTGGAGTATCGATACCCCATCCATTCTCCATTTTTAATGTGAAGTTCTTCCCCCAATGGGTCACAGCCAATGAGAACAATTACGTGCCCTCAGTGCTGGAGGATTTAATGACAAATACTCAGTGATTTTGTTTTGCTTATCACGTACATGAACCACTTGGGGTGATATATAATCGGGGGAGCTCTAGTGAAATACCGAAATTGCATGTGCAATGGAATCTCTAAATTCCGGGGTACGTAATCCCGGATTATCTCACTGATAATTCTATCTCTTACAGTATAAACGAGAGTATTTTCTTTCGATCTCAACGACCTGACGAATTCCTGAGGAGAATTCCCGGAAAAATTACCATTTTCATGTGATTTTCCTTGAAATATCGTATATTAATATTTAAATATCATAGAAATCAATATCAAATGAGTCATCTGTTTTCTTTTAAAGAAGAATATATTTATAATCGATATAATCGACGAATATCTGACGCCCGATTTTGCAAATAAAAATCCCAATTTACGGAATTTAAAGATAAAGAATCGGCTGCCTTGAATTGTATTTACACCGTCGGAAAACAGGGCGTGGAAAAGAAAATATTTCCCAACGGTCTCTATGATGTTGCCACGGAATTCCACCGAGTGTTCCCGATAGCTATCAAGAAACATCCGGGCCATTCAGTTGTTTCCCCCGATAAAAAAAGCCCCCAGAGGACTCAATACACAAGTAAAAGACTCGAAACACACGACTGCGAAATAGTCAGCGAGATAAAGCAGTGAAATCCCAGGATTTCTTGCTCTGTGCACTTTTCAGAGGCACCGGATATTCAATGCCGGAAGTTTTCACAGTGAAGAGCTCTTGACGTATGAAAAGTCGAGTATAAATAAGTAAAGCCGAGAAAAACTATTCACTAAACTCCAAACAACGAACAGTCCGCTAATTCGCGAATCTGCAGCTCCAACTTTTAACGTTTTCCAGTTGCTTCAATATTTTTTCACTTCCACCTCTTTTACTCGTTTTCTTTTTTTTCCTGTTGAATGTGCATGAGTGATAAGCGCGAGTTCCTCCATCTTCGTGATTAATTTTTCAGAGTAATTTCCACGGGAAGGCACTCGCAATCAGATGTCATGAGGCCACTTAATTGCAAACAACGTCGGAGTAATCTCAACTAGTACTTGAAGAGCAGGTTGACAATGTGCAACTATATCGTGGATATAATGGTCTTTAGCTTAACCCTGAGGCACCGGGAGTACATTTGTTAGTGATGTTGTTACTCAGGGTGAGTGGGTAGTTTCTTTTTTCTTCCCTTCAGTGGAATAACGCAGATTTTACGATGGCTTTTTTTACGTCCTATTCTTCTCTCCTCGAGGTTTTTCATTGCTCCGGGAAATACGATAACACATTTCCCCCTATCTCTATCCTCATTGCCTATGCATGGCGATGCTTCCACTTGACGCCATCTTCAGGGTACCTTGTACCAGCCTGTTTCAGCATTTTTCCTACTTTTTCCTACTTTTTTCCATTTTTATCATTTTTCCGGACTGACCTATCGTTCGGGATATCACGTGTGTGGAGACTCGCGTCCTCAGGTGATAGTTTTATCGGATCCGACGAGTCCCGAATGAAAAATTATATAATCCAAAGTTACAACTGAGATATTATTTCTTTTCCTGGGATTTGCATCTTCAATGTATTCGAATATAACTGATATATATTTATGGGTAAATATTTTTTGCGTGTGTAATTCTTCCGGGAAAACGCGACC